CTCGGTGATTGGATGTTTTAGCCGCAATGCACGTTGGGATATGGTGTTTATGCGATGTGAAATCCGAAAACATTTTTTTTTAAAAACCCAATATAATACTTTATTCCGAGTGTGCCTGCTTTTCTCTTTGAAAGTATCACATAACAGCATTGTAATACACAGTTTGGCTGCATTAAATATTACACATCTGCCGTGGTTCTCTATTTGCCCTGATGAGAAGACTGCAGGACAAACTGGAAAAAATGCCGCAAATTGTTGTTTCTTACACGACGACTAGAGGTGCTAAACTTTAAAATGTGACTGTAGGTCGTAAAAAGCTGCTGAACAATCTACCTATTTGGTTGTTTTTTGGAGGAGGACAGGCTGTTGAAATGGTACACAAACTGGCCAAGAAATAATCATAATCTGAGGAAAATGTTCCTTCATTAACTCTTGGCCCTTGCTACTTGTCGCCCCCGTCTTTCGTCCCCATTCCAGTCTATCCAATAAACGTAAACAAGCCAAAAAGGAAAAATATTTGACACATCTGACACTTTCCCACCGGGCAACCCTGAACATAAAGTATCTCAACCACTTTTGATCGATGTACAGTTTCTCATCCAGGTTTAGGAATCTCATTCTATTTGAACATCCCCTGTGAGACAGCCACTTCCATCAGAACACACCCACCAAGGTTCTGCAGCAGTTAAATGGCTGCATCACTACAGACAATCCATCACTGGGAATAGACACGGACAGGCAGTGAACACACCATTCTCCCCCCACACTCACTGATATCAGACTTAAATCCTTGCCAGTGGCCTCACACAAACCCCAGCAGGTAGACTTGTGTGTGTGGCTCCACAAAAGGCTCCGAGTGCCATGTTATATCAGGGATGCATGAATATTAATGACATTACTTGGAGCTTTCTTAAGCAGCTTGTTAGCTCTGACGTACATTCAAATGTGCACTGTTTGTACTGTTCATTTCACTACGACGCTCCCACGCAAACAATTAAATGTAACACGCAGTTGGGTTTGGGGTTCACGCTCAGACGTGCTTTGTCTAAGGAAACAGTGGATTTTCAAGGAATTATTGCAAATGTTTTGTTTCTATAAAGCGTCCAACCTTTGAAATGCAAATAAGAGCCGCCAGAGCAGGCTGCTACACAAAGCTTTTAATGTAAGTACATGGACTGCAATATGAAAATACCCTTTTTGCTTAATCAAATATTAAATAGACAAATAGCAGTAAAAGGGGTTCCTGAACCGAATGAAAGGGCTGATTATCAAGAGTGTTGTCTGGTTTTGCCCTTTGTTTCCGAGCAGAAAAAGAAGAAAAGAAAGCAAAGACTATCAGGAAAGAAGGAAGAAGGGGGCATGAGGGATGGTATGGATAAAGGATTAATAAAGGGGAAGGTAGAAGAGAGGAAGAAAAGAGGACGAGTGAATAGACACAATCAGGAAAGTATGTAAGAAGCAAAAAAGAAGGGAGGGTAAAAAGAGAGAAGGAAAGAAATAATGCAAGGCAGTGGGGGGGGGGGGGAACAAGCAAACCATAAAGAGGAAGATGCTAAAAAGCTATTGGAAAAAGGAAGTAAAGAGGATCAAGGGGGGAGGGAGTAAAGAAGAAGAGTAGGAAGCAAATGTATATGAATAAGAGGAAGAACCAAAGGGACTAAACAAAGGAAAGAAAGAAAGGAGAGGAGGAGGCACAGAAAGGAAACATATATAGGAAAGATAGAAAGGAGAGGAAGAAGCAAAGGAGAGGAGGCAAAGACAGGGAATGAAGGAAATAAATAATGTACAGAATAAAGGAAAGGCAAGAAACAAAGCAAAAAAGAAAGCTGAACTAAATGAACGGATACGAGACAGCAAAGAAAGGAATGAAGCAAAAAAAAAACTAAGACAAGCAAGAAGAAAAGGCATACGATAGAATATGTATAAGAACAGAAATAAATAAATCAGTTATCAAGTAAGAGGGAGTAAAGGAGGAAACAAAATTAAGAAAAGTCCAAATGAAATGAAGGTTCCAATATTTCATTCAAATAAAAAAGCAGAGTCCGAAAAATAGTACTTAACCTTCTGTCTGTCCTCTTCAATTTTGACTCGGGAGGACAACAGTTGCATGGTCAATGGGAAAACAGGTTGAACACATTTTCTCAGATATTGCCTTGCAGTTAACCATTAACCACCTCTGAACATAAACCCAGGGAGTGCACCTGGGGGGCAGGGGATGCCCTGTGCAGATATGTGAGCTGTAGCTGTAATCTCATCCAGGAATGAGATATGAGGCGTCTATACGGAGCTCTGGAGCCGACATGATGAACATCTGTCAGCAGGGCCGGACTGGGACAATAAGTCAGGCCGGGAATTATACACCTAGCCAGGCCACTACCAGTTTTTTGTGCCATTTTGCTGGATTTATCAGAGACGGCCCGCCGATAGCGCAGCTGTTTAACTTAGACACGTACGGCGGAGGCTGACAGGACCTCCGTTTCGAGGTGACAGCTACCACCTTCAGGCAGTTAAGGCGGGTCACCTATAGGTGCAGGGAGAGGGTCGGGGGCGGGGTTCAGTCGGGGGAGGGTCGCTGCCTCAGGCGCCCTATTTTAATATTAGTTAAGCACTGTTTAAACACCCATGTAGTCCGTACAAAATGAAAAGACAACATCTAATTGTATAGATTGCCAAGTGAAAATATATGTATTGATGAAAGAGGATGTACCTTTTCAAACTTGTTGGTCATTTTATCTTTTCACTGCTTTTCCAGTTTTAAGAGGAATACAAAAACCACAGATGTTTCAGTCATGCCTTTTAAGTGTGCAGTAATTATGCTTCAGGGTGGAGTCATTTTAACATGTCACCATCAGTGAACGTCAGTCGATTAATCACCAGACGGAAAGCGGGTATTTTCAGTAAAGATAGTGTTTTCAGATATGCCTCATCAGAGCCAAAGAGGCCTTATTAGGATTTGGGGAGGGGGTTTCCTTTCCTGTTATGTGTTATACAGGTTTTGGTGCATATAAATGGTCTGCAGTCACTCCAGTTCACCGTCTGGGTTCCTGTCTGTCAAAGAGTTGATTTCAAAATACTGCTGCCGGTTTATAAAGCAACATATATTTCTGACCTCCTGCTAAATTATGAACCATCCAGATCTCTCAGGTCTTCAGGGACAGGTCTGCTTTCTGTCCCCAGAGTCAGAACTAAACATGGAGAAGCAGCGTTCAGTTATTATGCTCCAAATATCTGGATCAAACTCCCAGAAACCTGCAGGTCCGCAGCAACTCTTACTACTTTTAAATCCAGGCTAAAGACTTTTCTTTTTGCCACTGCATTTGATTTAATCAAATAACTATTCATATCTTAAACGGCACTGTAACTTTTATTCATGTTTTATTATCTTTGCTTTTAAATGAGTGTTTCAAAATGCCATTGTATAATATGTTTCTGCTGCACTATTTCTTAATGCTCTGAATGTATTTTTGTAAAGCACTTTGAATTGCCTTTTGTTGAAATGTGCTATAAATAAACTAGCCTTGTCTTGCAAATGCTAAAATCCCAAAGTTCCATCCAGAGTGAGTTTCTCTCACTCCCCCCCTGCCTGAAACACTTCCATTTGACTCCTTTGTTTACTTCCGTAACATAGACAATCATGCTTATATTGGCTAGCGCTACAACACATTGTACGTGATAGGCTAAGGGGCGGGACATCTCTAAGCGGTTGACCAATCACAACCAGCTAACCAATCAGAGGGTGAGAAGAGGTGCTGCAGCACACATTATTTAACTTTCCGAAATATTTGTAAATATTAGCAAGCATGCTGTTGGATGTATGTATCTTTTATTGCATTTTCACCTAAATATAACCAAGGTTTTAACCAAGAAGTGTTTTCAACTCAATGGAGACAACACCTCTTTGCTGTTGTGAGGTGAAAATATATACTTCATTTATGCTTTAGGAGGTTAAAGCATTGCAACAAAGTTGACAAATACTAAATGTAACGTAGCGGTCTGGGAACTGTTTGGTCAGTTAAAGTCACGTATGTTAACTACAAGTTTTATGTGCTGAAGAGATTGTAGTTAAAGCAAAATGGATCAAATGTGTGCACGCCTTTTTCTTTACGACATCAAGTATTTTATGGCAAACCCCTTTTCCCCTGCAAAACTTCCACTTACAATGATTGTTGCCACAGATCCTGATACTGTAAAATAAAGCTGTCATCAGTTTAATAAAATCCACTTCTTCCAACAACCCTTTTGGGGCGAAGCATTCTCTGGATATTTATGTCACTTACAGCAGCAACTGTAACTTGTGGGCAACAAACTGTCATAACAGTATAGAACTCAGAAAAGCTACACAAACCTGACGGGAAAAAATATAATTCAAAAACAATAAAGAGTCCTGAGGGAAGTTTGATTAATTAATATTTTTTAGAAAAACATGTCCTAATATTTCAGTTTTTGAAAAAATGAATTGCTCTTTTGTCAACCATTTAAGCTTATAAGTGTAAATATTGTGAAACATGACCTCAAATGTATGTAAAAGATTTTGTTCAGCCCAATAAAAACCTCAATATCTAAAACTCATACTGTGATTTACAATTTCTGCTAAATACACTACCATAAACTAATACATATTGGGATGGTGGCTCTCAAACACAGCAGAATCTTTCAAGTTGAGCGTTTAAATCAGACTTTCACTTACCTTGCGCACACGTCAGAACTGTAAAACTGTTTATGACCCGTCCATAAAAGCCATAAATAATCAATATGACTGCCATTGTTTTCATTGAAACCTGCTGTCAGACTCCACCGGTAAAAATACGTTTTGCTCATACAACCACCAACAGAAAAGAAAGTAATATTACAACTCTTACAGTCTGAACCCAATGACTGCGCTGGGATAATCGGTCAAAGACACTCGACTGTGTGTGTGTGGGGGTGTGTGACTTTTTCTTATCAGGTGAGAGCAGAAAGCAGGTTGCGAGTCTTTTTCTTGGTCAGAAAGTGGATCTTACCGTAGGAGAGGGGGATGTCCAGATCGCCCTGCCAGGACATCTGCCCCGATTCGTCTATGGAGTGCTGCGCTGTAAAAACACAACAACAGGCCTCTTGTTTACAGCTCGTTCTCACCCCAATGCCGCTTCGGATTCATTAAAAGTCCAAAGGAAGACAAGAGCGGAGAGCACTACTACCGTGCCATGCTGCGTTCACACTGGCGGAAGTGTTACTTTGTCATTGGAAGTGTGGATTTAATCACAGATAATAAATGTGTGCGTGTGGACTTTGCAAGATGTCACTTCAAGCCATTATGTATTGTTATGTTCAACTTCCACTGAGCTGAAACAAAAGTCACAGTCACGTTATTGTTTTTTTACTACATCCATTTGGCAGAGGGAGAACGACAGCATGACACAGTGGCTTTGTGAGTTAAATGATTGTTATTCTGAACTTGGTTTTCAGGACACTGTGAAGTGAGGAGGATGAGGTTGAGGATGGGCTTGGAATTGTAATGTATCTTTATACGATAGGGACCATGCAGTGTAATATAGTTCCAATACAGAGCATGAAACTGATGAGCTGCACAGAGAGTTTATAGCTATTACCTTTCAAGTGGCCACGTCCCAGTGTCACAAACCCAGAGGAGATGAAGTTGTGCATGTCTTGGCCTCCGCTGCGTAGATTTTCTTTTCCATAGTGTCCTGGTGAGACAGAGCAAAAGCGGAAAATGAATATTTCAGCAAGATGGCATAGGGCAGGGGTTCTCAAACGTTTTGTTTATGCGGACCACTATTTATACATATATAAACGTAGTGTTAAAACGCCGATATTTTTTTATAGTTAATCATAGACAATCAAAAGTAAATTGAAGCCTATCTGATACTTTTGTGACCGGTGTCTGTCTGCGTTGTGTATGTTTCTCAAAGAAGACGGCGGACGGTATTGTAATTGGGTCATCCCAAACAATGCCACAAGTGCGCACGCACGTGCACAAAACGGGCAGACAGGTCTACAAAAAAACTACCGGTATGCTTTAGTTACTGTGCTGCAAAAAGCAGACGGTGCTGCGCTCAACACACACAGACTCAAAACAATGGACACACAGGCATTCTCTCTCTCTCTCTCTCTCTCTCTCTCTCTCTCTCTCCTCTCTCTCTCTCCTCTCTCTCTCTCTCTCTCTCTCTCTCTCTCTCTCTCTCTCTCTCTCTCTCTCTCTCTCTCCTCTACTTTCAAAATCTATTTAAATCTCAAAACAAACTCCCAAATTCCCAAAGTTGTCCTGAAATTAACTTATTAAGCGGCAGAACCCCTGGCAGAAGTATATGCTGATTTAATCGCAGTCATATCAATCAATGTTAATTTGGAAAGCCAAAATATTGATATTTTAACTGAATAACATTAGGTGACATTATTGTGGCACATCAGTAAAGCCTTAAATAGAAATATATAAGATGGCAGACATAATTGAATGCATTTTAACTGCGGACCCAAGTACTGTAGACTTCCGTCTACAGTACTTGGGTCCGGATGCTTCTCGTTTTGCGCCGTCCTGTTCAAATGAAATCGCCGCCAATCATATTTCCACGCTCGCGCCAGGGCCGGGGGAGGGGTGACAAGGCTCGTGTCCTCTTGTGGTGCATTCACTTGCACTCGGACATTAGAGATTTTCGCTCATAAATGTCCGATGAGCCCAACGACCACTACCCCACTGTCTGGTATCATTAGAAAGCTAGGAATCTCCTCTTTCCTGACAGTGTATACAACTCCAAATGTGTCTTCAGGTCAATGCGACTGATTTTGATAGAGCTAGTCACATATGAGGTGGTCCCATAGACTGTATATATAAATTATAATATTCGGGTGGTCCCCGAAAATCCTTGATAATAAAAAGTGGATTTTATTTAGCTTTTTTCCACGGACCACCTGCAGTACCCTCGCGGACCACAGTTTGAGAACCGCTGGGGTATACTACAGTACAGCAGGGGTACTCAAATACAAATCTTAAAGGTCCAAAATAAATGTTTCAATAAGACAAAGGTCCGTTTATTACGGTCATTCAAACTTTTAAACAATTGCAACAAGATTCTTAACACGAGGTTGCAAAAACAAAAATAATCTATATGCAGCAGTTTTCATTGTTATTGTGTCTGTGCTTGACCCCTCAGAGTCGCAGTGTAAGAGCTGCACAGTTATGAATAAAGGCAGCTGCACCCTTACCTCTTTCATTCAGCATTCCCATTATTGCTTTATAAATGTCTTGCCCCCTTGTGTGTCCACTGAGGTTAGTCAGGCCCAACACATCTTCAACAAACTCCCCCTTTGCCTCGTCATAAAAACTCACAAACACCAGCAACTGAGCATTGTCAGTGGTGTCAGTGGACTCACCCACAGCTAAGGAAATGCACTGTGCATTTTCTATTCCATCACAAAGCTGATGAATCAAATCACCAGCCAGTATTTATGTTCTTCTGGTTGCTGTGGAATCTGAGAGGGGATTTGCTTGATTTGACCTGTTATTTCCTCTTTTTGTTTGCCTTCAACATGGTCTCCATCACTTCAGTCATGCATTATTTTATACTTCAGTTATTATCCAGTGGAAAGTCCTTACCTACTGGCCTAGTTCAATCAAAGTGGTTACTTTTTTTTGGCTGGGCAGTGTAGTTTTACACACCGTCTTATTTGACTTTCTCAGGACATAAAACTGTTTTTTGGGGGCAGACCCCCTCAAAGAAAAACATATATTTACACACATAAGGTCATCATCTTAATAGTTGTGTATGCTCATCCGTGAGCAGAGCATCAAGTTGACATGTCTATTACAGCTGAATGCGGCGATTACCATTTTGTTCAGCAAAACGCCTCACAAACGTATTAAGATCAACAGCTTTAGTGCGTTTTGATTCAATGCTGAGTACAGCCAAACTGACAGTCTCTTCTCTGTCAGTGTAGACCGCATATACCTCATTCCTTCAGTAATTGGGTCCGAATGTTTCTCGTTTTGCACCGTCCCGTTCAAATGAAATCGCCGCCAATCATATGCCATTGTCCACGCTCGCGCCAGGACCGGGGGAGGGGTTACATGACGTGCATCTTGTGCTGCATTCACTTGCACTCGGACATTAGAGACTTTCTCTCATAAATGTCCGATGAGCCACAACTTTTCTTTCAAAACAAAGCTGCCAACTGGGGTGGCAGCTGGGGTGGCAAGGCCTATTTTTAGGGTGTCAGTTGCCACCCCGGTAGGTGAAACTAGGCTACTGGCTACAGTACAGGTGGAACTAGATGAGCCGTTAACTCTCGCTCTGAATTTTTTTTTTTTAAACTCTCGCTCTGACTCAGACAGGTTGAAAGAGACGAGACACACATTTTTCCCACCCGCAATCCGCGAAGACCCGCCCTACTGTGCCTCTGATTCGCAGATTGTTTGGGGGGGGGGAAACGCTGACGGGATGCTGAATGTGATTGGACCAATGCGTTGACAGACACACACAGACAGTGGAACAGGACATGCAGAGCGCTGTTTGCAGTCTATGGACATAGCGAATCATTTTTGACTCGTTGCGTTGTGGCGATGTCTCGCAGATAACACAGATAATACATGTGAAAAGTATAATTTGCTCAGAGTCCAGAGACAGTTGTGGTTCGGTCCGGATCCGGACCGGAGTCCGGACTTTGAGGATGCCTGCAGTACAATGTTGGGTTTTGCCGGGTAAAAAGTAGTGTAACGCGCTACTACGAAACATTTGGTAACGTAACGTAGTTTCTTCTTCAATTCGCCGCAACGTTACTTTTCCCTGGGATGAGTGACAGTGACACTGCCTACTCAGCTGTGTGCTTACGCATTAGGCACGAGCTCTCATTCCACACTGTACGTGATAGAGGCTGGCCGCTGGTGGTGGCATGAAGACTGAAGAGCAGTGATGGCAAGTGAGAAGCAGGCGCAGCCAACGCTAACATTCGAGGGATGGAGGTATTCCCATTACTTCGAACTTGTTGAAACTAAGGGGAAACATGTGAGTGTAAGGTGTACGTTGTGCCCTGGCCAGAAACTTGAGTCCACTGCCGTTAACTCCACTGCCAACCTCACCAAGCATTTGAAAGGAAAACATGCTAGCATGAAGCTAGTAGCTCAAGATCCCCGGGGAAATGATGATATTTCGAGTCCAAGCCTATTTAGTAGCCTATTGATATGATTTGCACTAGCTTTGCACCTATTTTGGGGCTAGCCTGTAACTAACCCTTAATGATTATGATTTTATATTGATATTGTTTGATATTATTGTTTAGTGGTGGTGTTGACGCCTATAGCCCAATGTTTTGTTAAGTGCTCTGTGGCATTTTTTTATAATAAAGAGCACAAAAGACATATCTGTTATGTCCTCCATAGTAGAACTTTATGTAAGCCTACACATTTAGGAACAGAGATGGGGTTCTGCCCAAAGTCGAGCAACATAAAAGTAACGTAAAAGTAACGAGTAACGTAAAAAGTTACTTTTCTTGGAGGGTAACTAAGTAAAGTAAGGGATTACTTTTTTAAAGAAGTAATGAGTAAGGAGCAAACACTACTTTTTAAAAGTAACTTCCCCAACACTGCGAGGACAGAGAAAACCATAAGTGTCCTTGGGATATGACTGGTGTTTGAGACTTGGTGACACATTTATAATATCGGATAGTTAGTGAACCATATCTGGCAAGCAGATGGCTAACATTCAAGCCAGTAACGGCCCGTCCACACAGCGGCGTGGGAAGCTTCTTCCAACGCTTCTGCCCATTCACTTTGAATGGGGTGACGTCACTTTTCGCCGAACTGCATTGTGGGAAGCAGAGCGGAGCTTTCCTGGCGTTTCAGGCAGCAAAAGTTGAGCAATGTTCAACTTTTGAAGCTTCTGAAGCTTTCGGTGGAAGCGTCAGCCAATCAAATCATATGCCAGTACAAGCTCTAGCCAATCAAACCGCTGCTTGTGTGTCAGGGGCGGGAGATTCATGTGATTGGTTGTTGGTCGAGCTTCAGACACGCCCGCCGACAAGCTTTTTCCAAAGCCGCTGTGTGGACGGGCCGTAAGATGAAGAGTGCTGCGTGTTGAAGCTAAAACAGTAGTACAAGAACTTCCATGTCAGCCAATTGTCATTGGGCCGAAAAATACTTTTTAACATTGACTTACATTGGGAAACAGATGCTTATAAATCAGTGGATACATGTTTTTAGGTGAATTAACCACTTAAGACAATTGCCAGAAGATCAAGAGATGACCCGGGTATTTTAGTTCTCGAGAGTCAGGCTTCCATTTTGGCTTCATGCGCCACTGACTAACTCTCCTTGGAATGAATGGGGACCGGTCTCCGACGCTGTATCCAGTTCTCTTTCTATACATTCATATGTAAGGGTTAGGAATAACCCTGTTAGAGGCAAACTGAGGTAATTAAAACCGATAGCTAGAACATGAAGGCTATTTGATTGAACAAAGTCCTGGAGAGCCCCAAGTTTCTTTGTATCATTAAAGATATTTTCTAACAGAAAAGTGGTCACACAGAATTTGTAAAAAACACCACGCAACGCATTGTTAAACTCAATGTAAAGATGGATTCACTTCAGCAACATGAGCAATGATGATCGTTTCGTCACAAGGAATTCACAAAGAAATGTCACCAATTGATAATCTTGAATGACTGGGCCTCAGCACTGACAAGAATCTGTACTCAA